CATATTTTAAATTTAATTAAATGAATAGTATTAAATAATGTACTGTATAGTATGTAGCAAATAACACAAATATTATTATAATCGATATTATAAAACAGCATATGGGACCCCCACAGCAAAACGAACCAGTGGGCGGACCAATCAGATTTTGAGATTTTATGCCGATCATTTACTTAAAAGTCTTGTCTTTATAAGGATATATTTTTTTTTGCTGAATATATTAGTAAAATGTGTATGAATTTAATTTTTTTTCTTTGTTATCGTTATAGTAAAAAATCGATTAACATATGTACCACATACAATGATTTACAGGTGTATATATTTTTAAGCATAAATTGTGTTTCTTAAATGCTATGATAACTAACTATTTATGTACATAAATGCCATAGAATTACACGCTTGAACTTGTAAAATGCAGAAGCAAGAAATAATTTGGGCGATATAGCATTTTGATAAAGTACGTACATACGTACGTATATGTATATATATACAATACGTATGTACATACGTATGTACGTAATTATACAGATGTGAAGAATTTAAAAATTAAAGAACTTTTATTGTTTTTTTTTTATCTTAAAAGTATGGAATATAATATACGTTCTCATGACAATAGTATAAATGAAGTCGTTTTATCTGCGTTGAAAGAGTTAGATGATACTTTTTTTGCTGATTATTTAGATTCTGAAGGCGAAGAATCTAACTCTGTATTAGACGATAAATCAATATCAGATGATGATTTTCCTGATATTCCTTTAAATAAATTAAATGAATTTAACTTTGTAGACATTCTAGACAATTATATTGAAGATAAAATTTACGATGATTTAAAATTAAAAATTAAAAAATTTTTTGATAAAGGTCAGTGCTCATGCCATTCTAAACAATCCTGTTTTGAGAAAATCGGGTATGAAAAATTTCTTGCACATCGAGCTGAATTTGAAAGTTTAGAGAAAAATATGCAAGATATGGTTATTAAAGAGCAACTTCTAGCTTTTCAAAAAAATGAAAATACAGATAAGGTTACTAATGATAATAGAAAAGATTTACGTTTTAACTATTGTTATAATCATGATATTCCAGTGTGTCTTGATACATATTTAAATCTTGTTGGAGTTGGTCCTACATATTTAAAGAATATTAAACAGCATTTGCAAGAGTACGGCCTTGAAGAACGTACACATGGCAATACCGGTAGAGCTTCTAAAAATATGAATTGTATTGAGATTAATTATGATTTGGCATGTGACATATTTAAGTTTTTAAAAAACTATTCTAACATACATGATATGCCCTCACCTGGACGTTACTGTAACAAAATTACTATGCCAACTGTATTTCTTCCAACAAGTTTTAGTTATGCATCGGTATATCGCAACTACGTACAGGCTTGTAAAGATAAGTATAGTAAGGATGCTCGTATTTTGGCTAAATCAACCTTTATTAATATTTGGAAATCATTAATGCCGTCACTTCAATTTATATTCTCAAAAACTGATTTATGTGAAACATGTGAATAATATTAGATATGCTTCACAACATGAAAAAAAATTAGAGCTTACTAATAGTTACTTGGCCCACTTAAATCGAGCACAAAAAGAACATGACTACTATAATACTAACATTATAAATGCAGTTGAAGATAGCAAACACAATCCAAATGTAGTTAGCTCTCAAATATTATTTAAAAGTTTTAGTAGTAGTGCCCATATTGCATACGATTGGGCTCAAAACGTGCAAATACCTCATTCACCACAACAAATAGGTGCTTTGTTTTTTAAAAGTTTACGAAAAGTATATTTATTCAGTGTTTATAATACTGGTAATTTTCCACATATGCAACAAACAAATTATGTTATTGATGAAGCTGAAATGCCCGACGATGGTAAGCAAGGTAAAGGCGTGAATTGTACTCTAAGCTTGGTCTGGCATGCAATTCTTAAATATAATCATGGGGAAAAAAAGTTAGCTGTTACATGCGATAATTGTATAGATTAGAACAAGAATAATTTTTCATTATTTTTTTATTCATGGTTAGTCGATCGCAAGATGTATGATGAAGTTGAGTTAAATTTTATAATTCCAGAACACACTAAATTTATATGTGATGGTTGTTTTGGTCTAATCAAAATTCTCTACCGAAAAAGCAAGGTCAATACTGTAGAAGATTTAGTCTCAATTGTTAATCGTTTTACAAGAATTAATTTTAACGTTGCTCAACGTTATCTTAATGGAGAAGGCTTTCAATATTATGATTTTAAAAATTACTTTCAAGCATTCAAAAAATTACCTCATATTCAAAAGTACCATCATTTTTATTTTACTTCGCAACACCCTGTAATCGTCTTTTTTAAAGATGATCTTCAAGATAATTATAAAAGTTTTACAATTCGTCCTTTTTCTTTTAATGCCGATACCCCACTCCCTATAATTGATGCCAAACCACTTTCTTAAAAGAGACAGGAAGAATTATATAAAGAAATCGCTCCTTATATTGATTTACCTTTCTACAACATTACTTATCCTGAACCAAAAATTCAGGATAAAAAAATAAGCTAAATTTTTTTTACGATAGTTTTATTAGTTGTAGCGTTAGATTTGTACTGAACTCAATGTAAATAACAGAGTTCAGTTTATCCTAATTTAGTGTAAAACAAGTTTGGTTTTTAAAATCAAATAAAGTTAAAAAGTAGAATCTGGAATAAACTTGATTGTCAAACCAAAAATTTCAAGAAAAAATCAAGTACGTACTAGCTGGTGGTGAAATTTTTTTATATATAGTACATACATATGTACTACCTCAATAAATAAATAAATAAATAATAAATAAATAAATAAGAGCATTATTTAATTAAAATACAATAAGTACTTAAGGGATAATGGTAACGGCAATAACTTAAAATAAAAAAATAAGTTAAAAAACTCAATGTTAAGGATCGATATTTATTCAAAAAAAAAATAACAATAGCGACGGTGAAAAAATAAATATTAAATAAATTAAAGTGCCAAGAACAATATTTTTTATAATTTTACATATTGCTAGTAAAATAAATTAATAAAAAAAAAAAATTCTTTGTCGATTATAAAGATAAGGCCGAAAAATTTGAGAAATCAGTTGTAAATCACATTTCAATTTTAAAATGTGATTTTCTCAAAATCAGATGATCATTCCACTGGTTCGTTTTGCTGTGGAAGATCCCAAATTTGGTCCATTAGTTATGGAGATAGCTTCGCTCAAAGTTTTTAAAAAAATTGGTGCAGGTTCAATAATTTAGATAGATATTTTGATTTTTCTTCAACTTTGAACAAAGATATCTTCACTACCACCGGACCAAATTCAATGAATTTTTTATTTAAATTCTATAGATTCATAGAATACAGATAAAAAAAATTATCAAATTTGGTCTAGTAGTTATGGAGATAGCTTTGCTTGAAGTTTTTTAAAAAATTAGCGCAGCTTTAATTTAGATAGATGTTTTGGTTTTTCTTCAACTTTGAGCGAAGATATCTCCACTACCACCAGAACAAATTCAATGAATTTTTTTTATTTAAATTCTATGGATTCATAGAATTCAGATAAAAAAAATTATCAAATTTGGTTTAGTGATTGTAGAGATAGCTTCGCTCAAAAAATTTAAAAAATTGGTACAGCTTCTATTAGCCTATTTTATAAACGCATCAAAAACGTAAATCAATTTTGGGGCCAAAAAAGCAACCGCAGATCTATCAAAAACGATACTTTTGCATTTCTGTGGGTAAATTCACGTGATATTCTATTGGCTATTACCTATAAAAACTATTAAAAAGTCGATTTGTGTCTTACATTCTATATTTTTTTCTGTAAATGTAGCATTTCACGAAATTTATAATCTTAAATCATGGAGATTATTTAGCTTGCAAATTTGATAAAAGTTTTTTATAAGAATAATAATGGATACTGTACAGAATTAATTTCTAAAAGATGAGCAAGGTAAGAACAATGAGTAAATTTCCAATGTTTTTGAAAAGGAAATTAAAATCGCAAATTAATTTATTATTGCAAAGTAAACTGAATTTTCGCAATAATTCAAATAAAGATTTCATACAACACAAATAAATTTTTATGGGTCTCTGATGCAACCTGATAGCCAGAGACCTGTAAAAATTTGTATATAAATTAATCAAATTAGATTGTTTCTGTGTATAAAATTCACGTAATATTACAAAAATTCAATTGGCTATTACCCTATAAAAAAGTCGATCCATATTTTACATTATATGTTTTTTTCATGAATTTAAGAGATTATTTAGCTTGCTTAAATTTTGTTAATCATGTTGTAAATTCAATATAAGGATAATAATGGATACTATGCATAATTAAGATTTTGAAAATTTCTGAAAGATGAGCAAGTAAGAACAAAATTTTAAATAAATTTTTGATATTTTCTAAAAAGGAATTAAAAATCACAAATTAATTTATTATTGCAAATTAAACCAAATTTTTGCAACAATGCAAATAAAGATTTCATATAACACAAATAAATTTTTATGGGTCTCTGGTTATAGGCTAGGTTTGCACATTATGAGCGGCTCTCCAGTGGTCACAAGTCAGAAAAATTCTTTTTTTTTTATGTTTATTACTATTATTATTATATTAGAAGCGTAGTAGTAGCATTATTCATATACTTAGTAAAATATTTGTGGTAGGATCGGCAATGCTAAAAATAGGTTGTCATAGAAGAGAGACAACTTGTCTCTAGAGACAACTTGTCTCTAGAGACAATTTGTCTCTAGAAACAACTTGTCTCTAGATACAATTTGTTTCTCTCTAAACCAACTCTAATCTGTTCGAATATTTAGCTACAAAATTAAAAGTAATATAATATAAATTAGCTACCCTAAAGGGCAAAACTACTGTATTTAAGCCCGATCAAAAATAAAAAAAACTCATTCGAGTTCTAAAACTTTGAAGTCTTTATAGTAGAAGTTTTCCAAAAAATCATTGTTTCCCTGAACCAAAATTACTCTTTCTAACCTGAATTAATTCATATTAAAACCATTTTTTCTGTTCTGGATAATAAAATAAAGTTATCATTTATCAAAACCTAAGATCAGTAAGAGTAAAGCTTGAGTCTAAAACTTTCGAAATTAGAGTAAAAGTGTTAACCTTAAATTATTCCTTTATTAAACACCTACTTGATACAAAATACTTATTGTAGAATTCCCTTGTCTCCAAAAATTCGTCCCTTGATCTAAAAAGATTATCCGAAGTAAAGTCATTTCTATAAAATAAAGATAAACCTTGATATCTGGCAATGCTAATATCTTATTCTGTAAAAGTAAAGAGAAAAGAAAAGATTGAATTAGTAATCAGACCTTATATATAGTACACATTTATTCATTGTTCTATGATTACGTCGATCAATAGGGGGATCCCCAAATTCCTGGTTGAAATGCATCAATCCTATAAAATTTAAAAGATTTTTAGAAACTTTAATTAAGCAAATATTTCTTGATAAATATTTAACTAATTCCAGCAAACCTTTTTTTATTTTAATTCTACAAATATGTGTAATTAAAACAAAAGGAATTTTATCGAATTTGGGTTGATAGTCGTAGAGAAAACTTTGCTTAAAGTTTTAAAAAAAGGTTAAAAATCTTGGAAAAAAAGCAAAAAACCATAGT